AGCTTTCGACGAATCATGGTCGAAAACGTATGCCTGAAATGCCCACGTTTTCGGATACTTGGCTGCGTTAATCGATGGATTCTTTCACAGTTCGGCAGCGTGATCCCAAAGCTCATTAAACGGTGGATTTGCTCAGAGAGACAGACTATCCTACGTCTGCGAAATCGAGAAAATTATCTTTGCACTTGTGCTAAAAATTATGCCCGACCTCGGCCGCCCAGAGACGCCCCGCGCTTCGCCTGTTGCGACTGTAACCTGCAAATCGATTGAGTATTTACCTTTACTTCCGGGCCTTTAGCAGGGATCCACATGCTGTGTGTATTATCGCCCGAGCCGGGATTATGAACCATCATCATCATTTATCACAGCAACTACAGTCCGCCAATTGCTTCGTGCGCGACGTACAAACGCCTCGACAGCTCTGTCAATTATTGCTAATTTTATTTGATAAACGGCAATTTTATGAGATTCCGCGAGAAGAAATTTTCACCAAACTCGAGAGTTTTATGCGGAAGGTAAACAGGAAACTACGAAAACTCGTTACTGTTGTTATTTCAAAGGTGAAGGAATAAAATGTATATTCGGAGCTCGGTACTTTTGTGCGATTATTAAAGACGATCGACGTGAACACTAAAATGAGGACACTTCAATTGATATCATTTTATAAATGTAGTCGATTTATTTACCTAGGAGGCTACCCTGAAACACGAAATCTATTATCTCCATGTAGATTACCAGAAAAAAGTTGAACTCATTGCTCTGCAAATGACTCGTATATGAAACCTGAAATGGAAGCTTCCCCAGGCTTTAAGTATCTTTATGGTCATTTTATGATTTTGACTGGCTCAAGGCTCTGAAGTTGGTATGCTCCAAAATGTATAAATTCGCAAACGATGCAGTATTTAGCATTATGTTCTGCTTGGAATTCACAAACAGCCGTTCAGAGCTCCCTCAAGCACGCTTCTACAGGTAGGCAGCAGCTTTTTACTTCCCTGGACCTCCCGTTTCTAGAGGTTAATTATTCCTCATGCATTTTATGTATGCAATATGTGATGGGTATGCTAAAGGAATACTATAAAAGAGGGAAAATGCGGTTTATTACTCTAAATGTGAGGTGTAAAGTAATACAAATTGCAAATTACGTGGGAATATGAAGTACAGTGAAAAATAAAGTTAGGGGCCGTATAGACGTATACCGTCCTTTCCGGGCTCAGACACCGAAACTTCCGGGTTTTGGAGCCGAAGCTTCGATTGCTCCGGGTGCTACACCCGAAACTTTCGGCCTCTAAGCCCGGAAGGCGGACGGTATGCCTACATAGCCCGTAAGTACGGCTTCAACGGCCGTCGGCTTCTTCTTTATTTTGTCAGTGCAATGCCACTGGACAGTTTTTTTGTATTAAATCTTGAAACGGGATAAAGTGTGCGGTTACTACCCTCTGCTTTAAGCTTCCAGTATCTACTTTTGACTTTGTTGCACAGAAAGGTGCATTTATACATGGCTCCTTTTCGATGACAGCTGTTCTATTCATCAAAGTTGCGGAAGAAGGCATGAGTACACACGGATAAAGCAGGACGAACTGTGAATGACTGCGGTGACTTTAACGACTGTTTAGAAAAAGAGTCAAGTGTTTACCTTGCCATTTTATCGAGCCTAGGCACTTACACAACTGCCAAATTTGAACAAAAAATAACCTCACGTATCCAGAGGCTCAACTAGTTATGTAATAAAAGTCACAATTAGACAGAAGAGTCAATTTTTTCAATGTGGTTTATGTTCATCAAAATTGGCCACTCAGTGAACGTAATGGAATTGTTTACTGAACTACACCGCGGTGTCATACAGCAATTGATTCCGAATAAGATTTTGTCTCCAACAATACTTTAAAATTTTCTGTCTGGTATTGATTATGATCTCATGTGTCTAACTCGGAATGTATCCCCTTTTTTTGCCGTGTTTTTTCGCTCTCTCGTCATCAGAAAATACCTAGATGTTTCTATTCCTCATTCCTCACATAGAAACCAAGCAACTCATTCATAATTGCCAAAAACATTTTTTATGATTTCATTATTAATTTTTCGAAAGACCTCTTCACATTTCTTCATTTATGTGTTTTCCAAATGACGTTAAAACGCGCTTCCTTATCCTATTACGTTGCTCTATTAAATACATGTTAAAATCAGTCAAAAATGTTCCGTATGCCGACATGTTTGTTTACTTTTTTCTTCATGCGACGTTGAATATTTCCCATGTTAGTGTTTTAAAAAACAACTATCTTAAATACATTTTTGCAACTTGGAATGATCCCCCTCCCCCCTATCCCTTGTGTTTCCCAACGTTCAGAGCCCTTGCACTATCTACCTCTAATAATTTTATGATTCTCTATGAGGTTGAACAAGCTGCCGCTGTATCCTCCCTTCTTCTAGGTCTATGATTTTGAGATGACGCACAACCTGTTTTGCCTCTTTATTTTCAACTTGGTACACATCTCTGTGACGTTTTCACCGCGAAGCTCCCAATAGTTCAAGGATAAAATATCAATGACGCGTAATTTTTCATTTCGCTGAGAAATTTTGCACATTTTTTTCACAAAAGCATAAACAGGTTCCGGCTTAATCTGTATTTAGTTTAACTATTCCGGACCCAACGGCAGATACTAGATATTTTTAGCTGGGTATTATTTCAATGAGTTTTAACTCGTCGTAACCTCTCGTTCAATTTTTGAGGCTCGTGTTAGAGTTCTTTTGAAGTCACAATACGGTCAGAGCTCCACGCCGATTTTGTAACGCATAATCGATTTTGTTTCAATTGAAGCGACTTTCGAGTCGAACGTTATTTCATCTTATAATGAGGACTAATAAAGGCACCTCGATGCTCATACTTGTTTTATTTTACTTACATATAGTACATGCAGAGGTGATAAGAGCCGAAGCTTTTCGGACGTTTTTAGCTGTTTGAGCTAAGTCAATTTTGTGCATGATGTAGTTTATTAGTGCTTGTTGTTTGTTATTTTGTTCTTTCGCTGTTACTATGTATGCACTAGCCGCTGATGATGAATGTTAGACGTTCGAAAAGCTTCTCTCCTATCACCTCATTTGCTCTCCTTTTTTTAGAAAAAAAGAAGAAAAACTGAGCGAGAGAAGTCCGGATTATTCCTAAAGTTTCAAGTTCTACTGATAAGAGCAAATTGACAACAAAATAGGCAGAGTGAAACTTTGCTTATTCAACCATCAGTACAGATTTTTCTAAACATGATCTTAATGTAGGCAAAAAAAGTAATTATGTCTGTAATTAGTAAATATGTTCAAAGCACATGCATGCATTTCAATAGGATGATTATCTGCAAAGCAAATATTCGACTTTTTTACGTTCACCAAATTCCCATCATGATGTTTTTAGGGTCAGTTGCTGAATTATTTAAGTAGATAGAGATAAAAGATATCGAATTTTACAGAATAGCATGAACTTTGACGTTGCAAAGAATCATCGTCGTCCTGATCTCGAAAGCTCTTTGCCTTTACTCATAAACTGTGTGAAAACCACTCAACTTTTATTAACTCACGAACGCAATATTCTCCGTAAATCATGGTTTTAATATGATCGAACATATTGTATGAATAGGATCACACTTCTATTACATAGAGCACATTTTCTTAATTTCTCATTTATAAGAAAACTCATAATTGAATTGGCAAACCCCTGCATTTGAATGAGGGTTCGCAGTGTGAAGCCGTGATCATTAAGCCGCGGTTGAAAGATGTTGGCACCCGGTAGTGTGAGTGGACATTAACTTGAATCGATATCTCTAATTGATCATTTAACTTGATTTATTGCTGATCTAATTGCTATGAATAAAACGGTTTTACATGGATATTATCCTGTCTTGCATTTTCCTTTCGAGCAAAATTCAAAAGCGCATCAGTCCACGTGAGAACAAAAAAAACTGAAGCACGCGAGGATGACACATAATCGGTGCCGATATTAATACATACTTACACGACTCGGTAAATAGCATAATTAAGTCAGGAGACTTAGGTTTTTCTACAGAGAACTTATATATTTGAATGTCTACAATTTTTATCATTCGTCTCCCTGTGGGAAGTAGGAATTTGCGAAGTATGTCTGCTCTCCTTCCAAAGCCTCTATAATTGTTCATACAAGTCTCTAATTTCCGATACTAAATATGTAAATAGACTTTTAAAATCACTAGAAGCTTAATTAACTTGTCCGAAATATGTCAATAGTAAACACAGAGAAAAAAAACAAAAAAATTTAGCTCTGATTGTGCGTAGAATCAGAGTTTTATTACCATTACGATATGATCTCCCATCAAAATTGCATAAAGAGCACAGTAGATACATTTTACATTTCCAAAAACCAACTTTCTCACAGTGTATCGACGTACTATAACCACCAACTCGTCTGAAGCCAAACAAACTAACTAACCATCGGCAACCATATACTAATCTTATCTTGCTTAACATCGTTCTCCAAGTTTGCCGATTTCGACATTGATAAGTTTTCAAGTATCCTGTATCATGTGAAAGACAAAAGTTTTGTCTAATTTGACTTTGATAAATTAACGACTGTAATAAATCAATTTCTAAATACTCCTTCAACTTACGACTGTCAGATTGATTACTGATTACGTGGGTCCAAGGAGAAGAAAGGTGAATTTGTTTGAGTAAAGGCGAGGAAATGTTTGAAATTAAAAACTTTTTGACGTGATAAGCAAAGTCCTGTACTCAGGTAAAATGTAGTTTAAGGGACGGATTTAACACATGTTTATACCGGTTTTTACGAGTTTCCAAATAAAACAGAAAGGAAATCCCAATCCATCAAATTTTCAATTTTTTTGAAAAAAATTCAAAACAAAATTAGTTTTTCAGAAAAAAGTAACCTTCAACCAGTTTAAAGGCATGTAGAACTTCAAAAGTAGTGATAAATCATGCAATCGCGACGATTCCCAAAATTTACGTGAGGCTAGAAATACTCTACTCACCTAAGAAATAGATTATCCAGGTATAACTTTAAATTGAGCTAACTTTCACTTGAATGCTCACTAAAAAGAAAACCACACTATTCCAGAAACCTTTATTAATATTTATTTGTCTTAAATATATCACTGTCAACCGTGTAAAATTTGCCGGATGCACTTGGGAAGGCGAAATAAGCAAACGTATTCACACGCGCGCGTCCAAAAACGGGAGCGGGAAATTCAAAGGAGCCACGAAACGGGACCGGAACTCGCGGAGATACTATACTCACGAGCGAAAGCACTTCAACCGGTGGATGATATCCGATTCACAGCCGGGTGCAGACTTTTTTCACGCGTACAATATCGCCGATTAAGAAAAGTCCAAAGGATCCGATATAATAGCATCAAAGGAACAACAACAGAGTAATCGGTCAATTTTCCCTCTATTATGACAAGTGATAATCGATAATCGGCGGGATTCGCTAATCGCAAGTCAAAAAAGAGGCGGCTGGGACAAATTACTCTCTTCGTTGGAGGGGACGAAATCGTGGCGACTACCGCGTTGGGTCCTGGGAGGAAAGTAACGTGCGACCAATTTGCCGGCTCCGATAAGGACTCGGTCTCTTGGGGAAGGTCAGGACCACTCAATGCCAGGTTCACGGGCTTCCAGCCGAGCCACTTAGGCGCCTGTTTACAGAGGGAGGAGACTCGCAAATTGGCCAATCAACGTCCGAGAAGCCCCAGCATTGTACGTGAGCGACCCCGACTTGCGTCACTGACGTCGCCGCGTCGCCGCGCCGTCGCGTCACACGCCGAGTGCGTATCCGTCACTGTGCGTGATGCCGTCCCGCCTCCCGCCACCAAGAAATTCGGGACTCGTCCAAACTGCGCATCTGTGGATCCTCCACCTTTGAACAGGCTCGAAAATCTCCATCTATACTGCTACATTGAAAAAAATAACATGCTGTTTTAGCACTTAGGATGTCAAAATTGTGTTTGGTGAGCCCAAGATGCTGCCTTTACTGCCCTCGCATAGTTAACTTTACATCCTATGAATGCAAATTCAACTGCGTGAGCAATCAAGGTAGCATCTTTGGATCACCAGACACATTTTTGACATCCTAGGTGCTAAGACAGCATACCATTGTTTTTCCGTGTACGACCAGGTACTCCTAACCAATAGGACAGTCTTAACAGAAGCGGCGTGTAAGGGGAGTTGGCATGCAGTCTTTCTTTTTTCAAGAAAACATTTTTCAGTTTTTTTTCCTAATCGAATTCTACGTAATCTTCAGATGTAAAATGAGACCAAGTGTCTGAAAATTGGATGATTATTGAATGAGTGAAGCAACACGGAACAAAGAACTTATCGCTGAGTCCTGACACTTTAAGTAAGATAGCGCTAACTACAGGCAGTGGTGCTGAGCCCTATACAGCTTTAGGGTCCAGCCCTACAGCTTCAGAGTTCATCCCTCCAGGCTGTGGGGCTCAGCCCTACTGCCTATGGTTGGCATTGTTTTGCCTAAAGTGTTAGGACTGAGCACTAAGTTTTTTTTTTCTGTGAACGTTTTGGGACAAACGAAGTGATGCAGCCATTATCTGTGTTCAAAACTTCGAACAGTTACTCTCAAAATAACATTTTTAGACATTGAGTTACACTTTTCTCAGATTTACTGGGTGGTTATTCAACAACTTTTGTTGATTTTTCCTAACTATTTTCTCTAACTACAGACGAGAAGGTTTCTTCTTATTATTCTTCAAAAGAATGAAATTGAAAGCTTCACTTGCTATTTTTTTTTTTCAAAAATTCTTGAAAAATTCGATTTTCAGAATCTTTAAAAGTCCTCTTGTCCAGGGGTAGAAAAATTCTAGGCATGAAACAAAACAAGTTTTTAAAAATCCATCCAGTAGAACCTTAAAAAAGTGCAGCTCAGCATTAGTATATTTCACATGGTGAAGGTAGGGGCTGCTGACTCCCTTAAAGTTTTTCAGTAGTATATAAAAGCGAACTTTCTAACCAAATTGAACTGAAAAATAGTTCAGTGGCATTAGCTGGACTGTAGGAGAGTGATGACTTCAATCCAGAATACTTACGGTCAACAGAATCGAGATCACTTGAACATGAATCAAATAGTACGGTCGATGTGGAAAACCATGCCACGTACGGTACAAATAAAATCGAACTTTGTTTCTTAATATATGCCGCAGCAATAAACAAAATGTTGGAACTTTAAACAATTTCTCCAAAGAAAAGAGGGGGAAAGCTGAAGCACATTGTAGCTTTCTGGCTGGCATGTCGACTTTGTAAGTACTCGTCGGTGCTTCATGCTTCACATTTTAACTGACTGGAGTTCCGACGAGAGAATTGCATTCAAACATAATGGGATTAGCTCATTCATTTTCCAGTTTAATGTGCTCAAATCCACTTGTAATGCATTGCTATCAGCCACCTGTGCATCCTTCAAGATTTGCTGTGAATAAATGTCGGACAGCTCCATAACCCAATCAGATAATCTGAATTCCTTGAATGTAAACAAGCATTGGTTTATTTTGGAATCTCAGGAAGAATGCAAGGTATCTCAAATATGAATTGATTTGGTGAGGGGTGAATGAAAAACGCTCGTCCTACGGATATCTTTGAGACACCTGAATAAATAGCTTCAAAAGCTTCATGCTGCTGATGCGGAAAAAACGTATCACAAAACAGGGTAACATTTGCAGGTGGAAACTACTCCCTTTATTTCTTGGAACAATGCGCTCCAAAGTCGAGCTACTAACTGAAACTTCAAAATTTCATTTTTGTGATACTACTTATTGACCCCCTGATGAAAAAGGAATTTGGTCTGTAGGGCGCTGTGGCCATTTCAAATTATTATTCCCAAAAAAGGAACTGGAGGACAAATGACATTCACAGGATAACTTAAAACTAGTTCTTAGATCACAGAGGAGAAGCACCGTGGTTGAAGGGACATCAACCTTTTGACTCATCTTTAGGGTGCACAGAGTTGAAGGAGATGACCCATTATTCGAGAAGAAAAATGATTAGCAGGTCGCTGCGCTAATTATCATCAACTTTTCTATCGCGTGAAACTAAAAGGTAAATGACCTTATTATGACTTAAAATCAGTCAAAGGGGCGCAGGGTTAAAGTTAATTTAGGGTAAGAGTTGCAAAAATAATTGGAAATGAAATACCTGGATCAATCAACCAACGCTTTACTCCCAATTAAAACTGAAATGTAAATAATCTCCAGATTGTGACTTTAAATAGTCAAGGGGGTCAAAGGGTTGAAATACTATAGTTATCAATGTGCTCCCGGATTTTGAACAGTGTAGGGAAGGATGTGACCAAGAATAGAGTGAAGAGGTCAAAATGAAGCATGGTGTCATGAAGAAATCCCTGCACCGTAAAAAAACGAGGGAGACGAGGATAGCTTCAGGGTATCACGTTTCATAGTCCATGCTCATCTAGGCTTACGATCAAAGTCACATGGGTGATTGTCAGCAAGAGTAAAATCTTGGAATATCCGATCGTCACATTACAATGCAATTTTTGCCCCGCACGACTATGTGTTTCCCCCAGGGACAAACCAGCCGCTTTTTCCTCGTTTTTGAAACTCCTTTTTAAGTAAACAAATACCTGGGAACTACAAATATACCATAAGTTGTCTCATTTGCCATCGAAAGCCAGAAGACTATCCGTCTTTTTGGTACGCGAAGCAAAAACTTGTTTGAAAACATACGATATTTTAAGCTGCATATGAATCAATCCTCTTCGGTCAAGAATATTCCCTCATTCTGATTAAAAAAGAAGTTTTACATCTTCTGTTAATCGCAGTATTCACCGCGAGCAGGATATTGACTAGTAACTGCTAAATTTACTGGTTACGGAGGACTGAATAATCGTATATTTAATAATCATTAAAACTCGATATGAAGCTCTATTTACATATTCGATTTTTTTCTCCCCTCTCCCAGATGATTTAACAATATTAATGACGTACTGGTATCTGCAGTTTGCATCCGCATCCCTCGCGTAACCATTGTGTTGAAGATAAAAAGGAAAGGAAGAATTGAGGAAATAGTAGCAAAAAAGTGAGACTTTAATTTTCATTGTGGCGAAAGTTAAATTTACTAAGAAACTAATGCAAAAAGTCACAAAGATTGAAAGAAGAGAGAGACTCCTCAGAATTATACAAGAAAATATGGTGATTTAACCGCATTTTAAACTTATTGTCGGGCGTACAAATGAGAGGAGGTGATCAAAGTTCTATTAGTTTCTGGTAGAATTTTTAGCATTCATTAAAATTTATCATCAAATGATAAGATAAGTCGAGCCTTTATTGTCTAAAGTAAAGACTTTGTACATATTAACTCATTTAAGTTCAAAATACGGTTCACTTATGATAACAATATGACCAATTCTATTACTTTCACTCTAGGAATATAAAGATGTAATAACCACCAAGCGAAGAGAGCGAATTCAACCTTATGCGAACTAGTGAGCGTGAAAGGTGACACGTAAGATGCAATAGCAGGTAAGACATTTGCATCCGACCGACATGTTATAGCTTTTTTCAGGCGTGGTTTGTTGCGGAAAATATTTGACACAACTTGATAGTCTTTGAACTAACTGATTACTGCAAGAATAAAACAATTTAAAAAAAAAAAAAAACAGGAAAGGGGCCATCTCCCCGGAAGCTGTGCACACAAACAGAACATACTTATCAAGTATCATTATGTTCCCTCGCATCCATATCGAAACGCGTTTACCCTGTAGGTAACTTTTGAACGCCTTGCAAATGAAGCAAGTCTTTGAATGTCTCGGCCATCAGGTTAAATCGCATTTTGATCCCATCAAATACCGGGATCATCATCTCAAAAGTTTGAAAAGGTTATTCCAACTATAAAATTACCAGTCAAAATGTTACGTGTAGATAATCAAAATTATAAGCCTCAGTATGCGCATACATAGTACAGTTCCGGTGCAAATGCTAATATACAACGATTGATAATATTTATAGACGCACATGAAGTACCTTGATAAATATATCAAGTCATTTAATTTTTGGCGGAAATGATTACAATATTGTGTTCTCCCAACTTGAGTATAAAGTTGAAAATAATACACAATGCTTTGTAAAATATGCTTAAAATAGTTTTTCCATGACGTAAAGAGACCCGTAACTTGTGCATTAAGTGTGCAAAAAGAGCATCGCACTGAATGATAATAAACCTGACCATACTCGAGTTTATCATACATTCATATCATTTTTATAACCCCTAGTTTACGTCAAAGTTCACGAGAAGAATATATTTTGAGTGTCATCACTGAAGAAACACTTACCTCGGTCAATTTGGGGACCTCGTTAATATGCTACGCACGCACAGTGAAAGCGTGCGGTACCCAGATTTTAAGGACACAATAACATGAACATTAAACCCCTATTAAAGTTTTTTTTATTTTTTCCACTGAAGAAATATTCTCTTCCTGCTTGCTAGAAACCGTTTACTCTCAAAACTGGCAATGTAAAAAAAAATTCTCAGCGCGCTGAATTTTTCTTAGAAACTTCACACAGAATCTCGTCTCCTCAGAGTACTCTATTGACTTTTGAGGCTATGTTCACATGTTGAACCAATCGATATCGAT